AAATAATTTTACCCAACCACAGTTATCTGCCTTGGCATATTTCTAGTGCTTCTGCCCCTGTGGATTGTCGTCTGAAATAGCAGGGACACATTGTGACTCCACCTGCACACACACGCACGCACTCATCCCGAAACGCGAATTTTTTTCCCCCCAATTCTTCTAGCAGTAGTGGATGGATACCTCGGAACTTTGGTGTCTGGTGTGAATTCACACGCACACTGCCTTGGTTACTCCTCCGAGTTCACAATAGAGAAGTCAACATGCAAGAGCACAATTACTCTGCGACATTTGCGACCTAGAAGTGGTTTGATTGGCAAAGAAATGTGACAATTCAAGTGAAATTGGCTTTTCCAGGTATAAACAGATGCGACCTTGAGCTGACCACTAGAAAAACGGTTCTCACAGCTGTGGTTTTTCATTAGCTACTCGATTTCAAAGAAAAAATGTTCAAACATCCGACCATGACCATAACCAGGCCATTCTTGTGACTTTCAATGAAGTGAATTGCTGGAACTCTGAAGGATATTAAAACACATACCGTAAAAGTCGCCGACTTTGAAGGAGCCACCAACGATGTTGTCGCTGAAAAGGAAAAAAACCAAGAATCATAATGATGGCACAGTTCTTAGACAAAGCCATCATTTTGCAAGGCCAGAAAAAGCCAAGGACGTAGGTGGAATTGGAAAGACAACTTTTAAGAAACCATTGTGAATCGTGTCTATTCACACCCCTTAATCCGGTGGCTCCATCCAACGACAGAGGGTTCCCCTTTTCGCAGCATGTCGCCAGCCGCGCGGATCCCCAACTCCCCCTTCATTCGCACGGAAACTTACCTTGGATTATCCTCACACCTAGGTCTCGATGTTAGCGCATGTATGACTCACACATCCGAGGTTTAAATACACACGCGCAAACCCCACCCACGACACAACGACACCAGTTTTGGTTGAGCTCTGAAGTAAATGGTTGTGTCCACGTCCTCTCCGATCTTTATCTTCATTGCTGGTATCAGGGAAACGTAATCGGGCCAGGGTTAATTGGGTGGCCCCGGCGTGGTTCAGGACCGCATGCTGGGGTCCACAACAGGACGATTGATTCCCACCCAGAAACTCACCACTTCCGACGAAAAGCGACAACAAGGACGTGTACAAGTTCAGAGAATCTCGGTAAACTAAAATTTCGTTTTCCCAACCTCGCGTTAGAGAAGCTTTTAGAATAATGCCATTCGCCAATTCCATGAAAGATACAGCAGGCCCACATTCTTCATGGATTATCTAGATGAGCTGCTGAAATACAGTGAATTACAACCACCTTGAAGGCTATCTAGGCAGGACTTAAAGTGCGTTTGTACCCATCTTATCGGCATTTACGCATAAAAGTACAAATTCAGTGCATATGCAAACCTCATCTCATGGCAATTTTACGACCCACAAAAACACACTTCACGCCGATGGTCACTACGCCCATTCAGAAGTTAGAAGCCCTTCAAATTAATCGTTTGCATCTCTTAAACTCACTATTCTCCTCTATTTCGTTTGTGATTGGTGGAGAGCACAATAATTCAGTGCCGAGTTGACAAAAACCAGACAGTTTCGACACCACTCGCTGTCAGCACCTAATTAATGTGCGACTCGGCAAATTTGTGCTGTCTACGCGTCAATTTTGACCTCAATGACCCACAACCATTCTGGCCATCCGATTGGGGATGTGTATTTGGAAAAAAACCCACTCAGAAATTGGCCGAGATTGATTGGATGTTTGGAATTCGTCAACCGTGAGTTGGCGCGCGGTTCGGGAAAAAAATGAGACACAACTTACGCAAATTTTATAGCGAACGGCGAAAGAAGGTCGTTTAGCGCGGGAATGTTGCTCCCACCGGTAATTGGTACCCACAGTCGCCTAAAAGATAAGAAAACCAGGGGGAGAAGCAAGTTTGCGTAGAGAGCTGGCCAGTCTGTTTGGGTTCGGGACGCCAGCAATCTTTAGGACGGCTCATCGCGGGTTCGGGCTTCGTCATTATCTACAAAACCCTCCTAACCAATCACTACGGCACTCCACAGGCACCTCCATCGGTGTTAATCTACCTTCAGCCATTAGGGCATGGTCATCTTTGACTTAAATGAGCAGACACATTCTGACATATCACGAGGTCTCGTCTTTGTCCTGCAGTAACGCGGGAAGATCGTGTGTAGCGTCAGACATGGGATCTGGGGAACCGGTTATCTGAACCGGCTGATGTGGTGAGGTCACGTCGGGGTCACCACCGCTTGTTGAGGGCCCCGTCACGTGGCGTCAAACCACGGCGGGACCACTGCGTTTGATACAGCCCGATTACACTGCCCTGATACCCGCGAAGATGAAGGAGATTGGTGAGGAAGGACGAGGCGCAATCGTTTGATGGGTAGCACAACCAAGCTGCCTTGCATGTCGAACACAATTCAGGCGAAGTAGTTAACGTACAAGTGTCTGGATGGTCAGACGGATAAAGCCGGTGCTGGGGGTTGTACGCACACAGGGGTGAACGAGCAGGCGGTCCCGCGTGGTTGACGGACACGACGTGAAAAGTGGGACAGATTGTCTGCGACTGTAACGGCGCAATTAATGGCCGTGAATCAACAGGGTCAAACCGTACCAGCTTGTGCAAAGTCGTGCACGCTTACATGACGCTAGCTCAGGCGTTTCGGTACAAATAATGGACGTACTGCACACAAATTTCATTAATTGTTCATTGCAATCCACTTCTCTTAGGGTTCTCTATTCGATTAGAAAACACTTACTGATATTAAGCCCAACACCGTATTGGCTACCAGTGACCTCGCTTGAGTTATGCTCACATGACACGACAAGGTCACTTTCCGCTCTGGGTAAATTGCGCTAATTAACTACCATGACGAGTTTTAGCCACTTAGAAAGCACAAACTAATGTCGTGTGCACGATGTCATGTCGAGTGTCAATGCCTTCACAAGATATGTTCTCCTACTACACGTCTAGGCCATTCATTAGCATTTTACCTAATCGCCCACACAACGACACAACTAACATGCTTTTACCAAGCCTAGCCTTTCCACCATAGCCTGTATCCCATGATCTGTCTTAGATTCAAATGAACCAATACCTCTGGCAGAGAACCAATCACAAAACGTCACCCAAGGTCAACAGTGGCCCTAGTCGAATGGCATTGGCTTACTTGGTATTTGCGTCGTAGAACTTGAGAGCTTCCTGAACGGAGGCGTTGAACCAGCCAGCGAAAACCACCAATGAGAGGCCTCTCTTGTGAACATCCGTGTGCACTTTCTTGATCTCGTTGGGTGCAAATTCGTCCTCCGGGTCAATTATCATAAGCGTGCCTACAAGGCAGCAGAACGAAGTAGAGGCATAACTCGCAGCACAAGTCTCCTCTCTGCGAGTCAACCATTCAACCAACCAACCGGCCAATCACATGCGTAGGAATTGTTTGGAATGTCAAGCGCACCATGGGTTCACACGACCACTGGTTCACAGTGGAGGGGAAAGTATGTGCAATTTGAAGCGCACTTGGTGTTGCCACGGGGATTGAGGTGTGACGTGATCGTGGTGTTTGTTGTTGCTACTGGAAACAAGCACATTTGAGGAATGGATTGTGGTGTAGCCTGCTCACTGATACACACCTCGACGATCCACGTGCGTTTGCGTATACGCGAAAGCGAGACAATAACGAACTTAGCCATAGACGCTTCGTTTTCACATCGACACCAAAGCAGTCACCCGGTGATCTGTGGATCGCCCTAACGAGGCAGGCGTGAGGTGGTTTCGCACATCGTTTTCCATCAGACTTCGCAAAAATTCAAACCAAGCACCCACACAGTAACGCGTTCTTCTTCATGAGTTTTGATGAGGCAGTTGTATGGTTAATTAAAGTTGTTTTGACGAAGTACTTACATCAACGCTTCCCACAGCAAACAAATGAGTGTAGGTCATTAACACCAGATCAACTCGTAAACAAGCTTTACTTATGCGCGTCCCCTGGCAATCTACTACAAACCATATGAAAGGTGAAATCGCGTTTGGTGACGAGTGTGTAGTGAGGAAGATCGGGTGCTAAAGCACTCGTATACACAAGAAAAGAAGCGCTTGAACAGTACTAGGAAGTCAACAAGTACCACCACTTGAATCTTCTGTTGTTACTTCAACGTAGGAGGTGTGAAGGACTCACCGTAATTGGAGGCGTTGAAGCAGGTGAGTGGTTTCTGAAGGACCTCAACGAAGTACCCCAGCTGGCGCAGGGGCTGGTAGAGACCCCGCAGGTTCGTGTGGATGTGGTCGCCGAGCCTACCACATCAAGATGCGCCAGGTTAACCAAAACGCCAACATTCGTGCGTGAGGCACAGGAATTAAGAATGATCAAATAAGGGTCATTTCCTAACACCTCAGCAAGACAACCAAACACATCGAGCAATGTGGAAGGTCACTTCCACCGAGGTGGCAGCCTCTCTTCCACCAACGCAGGCGGTCTCAGTGTGGATGTGTAGTGGATCATCTGTGTCGTTTTCATTCAAATTATCGCCATTCAGTCACGGGCTCTTGAGATTTCTCACACGGACACACGCCTAACAGTGGTTTTACTTCTAAATCAGCAAGCACATTAATAAAACTAACGCGGTACAGTACAGTCGACCTTTGAAATTTGTAACACTCCACACAGAGGAACAATTGTGGATGAAAGGTCATTCGAATCCGAGAATCATCAAAGTGCATCAACCGATACATCAATCAGATTTTCTAATTAAAATTGGCCAGCTTGGGGGATTTAATATGACCGTGTTTTCGAGCCCTACGTGGACCAATATCGTGTGTTTTAGTGACATAGATGATTGACTACGCCAATGATCTGCAAGACCAACGACCGCCACAAACACAACGAGGAGGCATTGAAGTTGTAAACAAAGCGATGACGATGGATAAAGAGGGCGTTGGGACGGATCAGGAGGAACTGCGCAGCGGGAGGAGCGGTGAAGGCCAAAGGGAAGACACTGTGGAACGTACCAGTCAAGCGGACCCGATATCTTCGTCAAGTCGTCGCCCGGAACGTAGGCAGATGGATAGCGAATGTTGTGAAAGTAGTCAATCAGGATGCGCCTCCTGAAACAAACAAGCAGCCTTCAGGGTTACCCACACGGGTCTTGTACAACTTATTTGATTGGTTAGGATCAGCTGTTGGTTTCTACGGGTCAAACAGATGGACGTGATTTTGACTACTGAGGAGTGCCACGGATGGGCCCCCTTGAATTGACGCAGCCCTCTCTACGGGCGGAAATTGATTTTGGGTTTGCGGACGAACGTAACTTATTTTAATGAAATAATCCACCTACTTGCCAGCATATCTCGAAAAAAAGAAAACAAATAGCGACCATATGGCTAGATACCGCTGATAAGCGAATCGCTTTACTCGCCAATGGGCAATATTCTGCACCACAATATATGCCTATAGGCACTATTTATATAAAATTGTGTTTACGTACACACGGCAAACACCATTACTGCCGGATTTGGTGGGCAACAGTCGACTCCCTCTTCACGATAAATGCTGGTCAAGTAACCGTCTTTGTTGACGCTGTTGCTGTCTTGACAGGTGACAAGTCTAACGAAACCGTGCAAATTTAGAAGCCAATTCGTCAGGTTAACATTTATTTAAAAAATCCCGAATCTGGGTCGACAGTATCCACGTAAGTCACCAAAATTATGGAAGGTATGTGACTTGGGCAGCTGGCCACCGATTTTGTGGTTTTGCAACTGCAACCTCATTAGTCGACATTGCAAAATCACATTTTTTTTCACTCAACATGTGATTTGCCTTGTCGTTTGCATACAACGTAGACAGATGTGACTGTATGCAAGCATTCATAGTGAAGCACACACAAAAATGACAAAAAGTACGTTTTTTGGCTGAATTGTTGATTGTGACTTCTGATGCTGGAACGAAATTAAGCTGTGAGATGGGCATTTTCCGTTGATTCACACACACACAAGGGAAACTCACTGTCGCTTGGGTGTTGGGGCAATTTTCACACGAATCGGCAGCTTAAGTTCCGTCGATAACGTCGTCTTCGTAGACTGAAAGAGAAGCATCAGAGTGGGCAGTGGTTGACTACGATTTAAGAACGTAAGCATAGGCAAAATCATTCACTTGTGCCCCAAGAAGGAATTACTTTGACGGGTTTGGTGATGGCGATTTACGGCAATACAGCAGATTGCACACTTCAAATCAATACCAAGTGCTGCTATTGACGAAACTCGTTCCATGCCGCTAGGGAAACCTTTAAGGTTCGCTGAATAGGCCTTCACAAAAATGTGCTTTTGAGTGAAAACGTTTCCATGGAGGGTGAAGAGCTATGGGGCAAGGGAAGCGATATCAACTACCTTCAGAATCCGATAGGAAGTGTCTGTCTCCATCAATTTCACACCAGTTGAAACACTTTTGAATCAGATGGTAACTTCTCTTACCATTAAGGCAAAATATTATTCCACTATAGATAATTAGCACACATATTTTGTGTCAAATGTCAAGTTTTGCCTACAATGATCATAGGCAATATTTTTTTTATGTAAACAGAATAAACAAAGTTTGTTGTTTTTTTTCACGGCTAACAAACTTGAAACACTTCTAAGTCAACAACACAAATCATCTCGTCAATTTACACCAGAACGACAAAATCTGTTTTCCCCACGTAGCCAAAGGGACGTGCCAAGGGCCATAATCTCGAGATTTTGGCTATCATGTCCCCATTAAATCAATAATTTACTCCCCACCATCTCCTACAAGTGCCTCCTAAGGTTTTACAAGTAGCAAGGTGCTTTTCGACTACGTCCATGGAATCACGCTATTGGTGTCAAGGTCGGAGGAGTATTTGCAGTCACGAGGGAAGATCAGGTCCTTTTGACTGACCAATTTTCCATGCCTTTCAGGCTTGAATTAGGTGGATTGCCTACAATACTTCTCGTCGGTTATTGTTACACCACGTGGAAGAAACTCTTGCAAAAGTGGCCTTCTGCAAGCCCTTCAGCAAACACCCAACATCTCGTCCACCGAATGCGGCAAATCAGACTCTAGTCTTTCACTTCCACGACTTCACCTTCTTACCACACTGTTTTACACAACCAAACTACGCATCATACCGTTTGGCCAGATTTACAACAGCGCGTTTCGCGAGCTGCTTATAGTACTCGTGCGAAATTAGTCCACCGCAATCCCACCACCCAAAACCCAGCGATTCACACTTTTTCTAGTGTGCTGTTTCATGCAAACCTTTTATCATTTCTAATCCAAAACAGGTTGGTTTTGTTAATCTGTGCAGAGTCAGAAAATGTGGAAACAATTTGCATTTAGTTACGTTAAATGGCAAAAATGCAAACGATTTGTCAAAATACGATCTTCAGTGGCCATCCGTGGACTACAATTACCTGGATTATGCCCGAAATTAGCTTCAAAAGGTCACCCAGAGCAAGGTTTATCGTTTATTGGGGCTAAGGTGCCTTTTTGGAACGATCTGTTGACCGTTGATCGCAATGGAAACTGTGGCTTATGGCCTACTCGTGATTGACAGAAGGGTGAGCTGCAAACGCGGCAGGGGATCTGTCAACAAGTGTGACAGACGTGACCTCACAAAGTCAAGCCAAAACCCCTACATTTCTGCACGAAAATCTCCCAGGTCCTGAATACGAATCAGTCGAGGATTACCTCAAGACTAAGATGTAAGAACCTGATATACCTTTGTACAGGCAACTGTTAGTTTTGACTGATGGAAGGTGTAAACTGTGTGCGTGTGTGTGTGTGTGCGGCTCTAGTTTGCTGCTTTGTTCAGCAAACACAGACGAGAATTCCCAAAAGACTGAACTTATCACTGTGTTGTGGACCCCAGCATGCGGTCCTAAACCACGCCGGGACCACGAAATTAACTCTGACCCGATTACGCTTCCCTGATACCCGCAATGAAGGAAAAGATCGGAGAGGACGTGGACACAACCGTTTACTTCAGAGCTCAACCACGTTGGTCTCGTCGTCTCGTGGGTGGCATTTGCGCGTGAGTCATACATGCGCTAACATCGAGACTTAGGTGTGAAGATAATCCAAGATATTTGTGTGAATGAAGGGGGAGTTGAGGATTCGCGCGGCTGGCGCCATGCTGCGAAAAAGGGGAACCCTGTGTCGGAGGCGCAGCGGTCGGGTTAAGGGGTTGAATAAACTCGAGTCACGACAACTGGATCTCGTCACTGACTAATTCATATCGGTTCCAAACTCCTCGCAATGCGAAAAAAACACCGAATGTGTGACCTTTTGTTTCCAAGGTGTTGTCAATGCTGGCTCAAGACCAAGACGCCACTTGCGCGTCGACAACAAGAGCACTTCCGGGTCCCAAGAACATGACACGTTCAGCCGAAACTGGGACGCCCATTGGTATCGCGAGTAGTTCAAATCGCATTCCCAATGACTTCAAACACACCCCAGATTTGCGTCTAGTTCAGCCAACAACCCAGATCAATGAATGCAAGCGTGCGTGCGCGAAAGGACGGCCAAAGTGACTGGTGTCACCGCGTTTATCAACTCCTAGAAGAAGAGGAGGCGCCCACTAAGAAGCACGTATCCTCATAAAAGTGGATCGCTGCGCTGGATTGTTTCCAAGATGCGAAAAAACATTTGCAAGCATCGCAATATCTCCTTCCTGCAGGGGTTAGCTAGTTACAGCAATGCGTCATCACAACGACGCTTAAAGTCATAAACGGCACCCATTTATGTCGAGAATAGAATCCTACAAAGTCATGTCTCGTACAGTTTAGGCAAAGCAGAATTGCCGGTGGTGGATTGGGTGTCATGCGTAGTTTGGCGTGATCGCCTTAAAATCATTGGTTGGGAGAAAGTTTGACCTTGACAGCACACAGATTTGCAAGCAGGCTGGTAAACATCGCGAATGACCTCATCACGGGCACATAAAGTGCTTCAGAAGAACCAGTAAGTCAGGGAACTCGCTCACACGCCTAGTTATAACCACAAGACTCTTCGATCAGTGGGGCAATTTTAACACGAATAGCCCGAACGATTGAAACAACCACACATCGGGAATCACGCAATTGGCTTATCGATTGCGAAGGGAAGTAACCAACAACCTCACCTGCTTGGCCTGATATGATGCAAACTGTAATAGAGATTTAAAAGTATAAAATATGGGTGAAAATACATCCCTCAGACCAATATACGAGGGGCTGAACAATAGACCAGGTGAATTTACAACAACAACAACAACAACAACAGGTACTTGGAGCCCATTTTTGGATGGAAATTGGCTAAACCAGTAAAAACCAACGGATCACAAGAGACGCACGTGTGGTGCTGTACTTTATGAAACCAGTTCTCTCACGTGTTTCTCCCATGGGCACAGCGGCATTCAATTGCGCACCTGGCGGCACAAGGCCAGATGGCCTAGGGGGGTGCGCACATCCTCCCCTCAAACGGGCATTGTGTGGATGGCACTGAGAAAGGATCACGTGACCGCATATTACCCCACCCCGTCCCCTGCACAGGCCGATGCCATGTGCCGCACTGAGTCAAGCACTAGAATGAGGATGGTGTACTTTTACCGTTGTTTTGGACAAAGTGCTGCGTTTGCCCTACAAGTTTACCTATTTCCAGGACCAGTAATGAGGCGTCGATTTGCATTCAGAGTTCAGGAGGGAATTCCCGGGGTACAACAGGTGGGAACGGTCGGAAGGGGTGGGTTTTTATATGGTGCAAACCACCACAGAATCTGGTGGACCTACCGATTCGATGGACTCCACCTTGAGACTGACGTAGCCCTCGGCGATGCCGTCGAAGAAGGCGGCGTCAGGGGCGTCGCGGACGGCGAGGTGGAGCGCGAGGTGGCCGGTCCAGGGCCAGAGGTCGCGGGAGAAGGTGACACCGACGTCGAGCCAGAGGCCGTTGCGGTTGACGTACGGGTGGTAGACCGGGGTGTCCACGACGCGGCCGTACACACCCATTGAGTTTATTATCGTCACCTGGAGAATTATGTTGATTTGCGTCCATTAAGCTGGCAGTCTCACACACAAGGTCCCCCTTTCACGGCCTATCCGTCAGTCATGAGGGCCCATTTGCTCATTCACTCCTGCGCATGCACCACCCCCACTACCGGCTTGATACCTCCGGCCATTTAGACACGACTATGGCACGCACATAAAACATAAGTCAGTTGAGCTATCTAGATTGGTTCTGCAGTGAATCGTGTTGATTCACGTTCGCTGTACCGGTTTTTGCATTCCTCGACACACCGCCCACCTTTTCGCTGCGGGACCGTCAGCTCCCAGAGCCGTGCACATGTAACCCCACCTCGGTACTCGCTTCACTCATCAGGCCATTCGGCCACTCAAACTGCATCGCTCAACAGGCTTCGTTAGTCGTGCACGATTTCGAACGCAACAAGATCTCCGAACCTCCTGCGAATCCAACTACGCAGCGACCCTGGCGTGGTGAATTCGTGATGGTCGTGCGTTAAAAGCCGACAGCTAGAAAGAACACGGAAAAGCATGCAGTTTCCTCGTGAAAGCTTGAACCCATTGAAAGCGCATCAAGGGCTGTTAGATGCTAAGAGCAAAGCGAGAGTGCCTTTACACATTGTTAAAGCAGTGAATCGTGTTGATGCAAATCCATTGACCCTGTCGGCCCACTCGTCTACGCGGACGCGTGTGGTCTTAGCACATACCTTCCCCAATACCCGTACAACTCAGCCGTGTAATCCCATCGGTGCATCCGAACTTTATTAGACAACAGGACTTTTTCACTCAAAGCTAGCCAACGATCTGGGCAAGCTACTGATACTGACGATGACAAAATCAATGGCACAATTAGATCAATTTGATGCCGTTTAACTGCTTGAGAGAACGCGGAGTTAGAATATATCGCGCACAAAATTATTGATAATTATTAAAATCGCATTTGATTTTTTACTAATTTAGATATTTGAGTTTTGAGCAGTAGTTTGATCAGTTTTGAAAAATCGGTAGTCTACAATGACACAAATCGATCGATACGGCCATGGTACGAGCTTGGTGTACCAACATACATAACTAGGAGCTCAAATGGACGATTCTACGATTTTCTTGTGGTTTCCGAGCTCATTTTTCCCCAAAATGTACCAACACGCAGGGAATGCGTGCGCGTGCAACTATGGTAATTCTCCTAGTGTAGACTAAACGTAAGCACTCAACTAAATAACGAAATCGTTTTATAGGAGAGCAATACGGCAACTCAGATGCTCTTTTCGAGAAGTGGAAACTGGCGATTAAAGCGACCACTACAACAAACAACCAATTTTACACCTGCTGATAAAACGAGATATCAACGATTTCACGAAAACATGGAATGATTTCGAATAGACCCTCGACGGAAATTGTTTCGGTGGCATGCTAGTACGCCAGTTCAATGTGAGTCGCACGAACGAATGCCTTCAAAGAGGGATGTTCTAGGTGTGGAGATAAAGGTTTCCACAGTCAATCGATAAAAAGACAGAAACGCGGCACGCGTGTGTTGGCATCATTCTTCCGCATCATCTGCAGTCAACCAACCAACCAATGGGAAAACTGGAAAAGGTTCCACGAAACAGACAAAATTATTTGACCTTGAAACTACCATTACTCAACGAATTTTCAAGGAATCAGTGGAGTGCGGGTACTAAAGACTCTAAGCGTTTAATCCAGTCCGCCGGCACTGAAAATAGAGGAGGTAAGTGTTGCTGTTTTCCCCAGTGTTCGCATAGTCTCGAAGATCAGAAAGGCGGGGTAGAAAACGCCGCAGAAGCCGAGGAATCGACCTGTGGGGCGCTGGAACACACACACACGCACACTGGATGACTCCTAAAGGCATCTCCTAACACGATGCAAATACGGACCTCGAGATAGCCATTGTGGGGATAGAACATTGTGGAGAAGGTGGTTCAAAGCGCCAATCACGTGAAGTTGGACACTCCCTCGTGATTGGTCCATTAAGTTTTCACGTATTACTTTTGCTTCGAGCATTCGAAAGCGAATCCGACGATGAGGGAGGCATGCTCCCGACGTACTCAAAGTTCGGAATTTTGTTGAAATCCTTCCGGCTCTCGGAGAGGAGCAGAGGAAGACGAAAATCGCTTTCGCCGCAGCTGCGGTGCATCGGGTGGATTCACAACCGCTACCACAACTCACGCTTGACCGCCTCCTATCTTTGCTCAGCCCCACGCACAACCAAACCCCGCCAATCCCCCCACCATGGCAAAATCCGGTGACTCACATCCCACTCTATTCACCCGCGCGACCTGTAAATATGCAGGAACGGGCATGACCAAGGCACCCCTATATCTCCTTCGCCTTTGGGCTTCTTATTCAGCTCTGAGTACCAGATCAGACAGCGACACCAATAATCGTTCAGTGGCCTTACACCTACACGGAGGAAGGGAGACAGTATTAACACGCAGCAGAACGGTAGACTGTCAGACTGACGGCGAAAAAAAAGAGGACCGTTTTCTTTCCCAACCAATCAAGCGTTGTTTACAGGCGAAACGCGCGAGGGTGGTATTTCGCCAGCACCTCGCTTTTTCCGTGCACATTTTCGACTAAGTCTACGCGGCAGGGGAAGAGGCGTGATTAGGCGGGCAGAAAAATAAACGGTGACCTTTACTGCGCAGAAGGGAGGAAATAGCCGCACCAATAAGGCATGCCCGGGTGGTTTTGCACGACATTTTTTCGGGTTTTCTGACGAATTTAAGATGAAACAAAGTGAAAACAAGGTTATGTAATGGTAATGTGGCCAAATCTCTTGTAGTTGAAAGCGCCGTGGTGATTCACGTGCGCCACAACTAGCTAGACGCCTTGGCAAGTCATTCTTCTTCCGACAGCCCACGCGCTTAATCCGTCTCCCCCTTTTGAAGTGGCTGAGAGCCAGGATTCCGTAAACGCAATCAACAATACACAGCTGAAGTGAGACATCCAATAAATGGATGCGTCTTTGACGCCTCAGGGCTCGTGGGTTAATGTGTCGCGTAACGGAGCTGTAACAATTACCATGTTAGTCCGTTGTTTTAATTCAAATTCTCACCGGGCGCCACTTACAAATTGTCGAATGGATGAGAGGTGCTAGCGATGAACGTAGTATAGCTTTGTCTCGTTAATGTTTAACGTGCACTGCTTGGGATAACATGCGTGCTTAGTCGAACTTGCCTTAAAATCTTGTCTAAACGAACATCAACAGGTGGATGCCACAGTGAGGCGATGCATCATCTATCTCCGTCGTTAATTAAATCCACGTTAGATCAGAGATTAGACACAGAACTGGCTTTCAACTGTGATGTCCAGTAGTACTAAACCGTCGCTTCGCTTGAGCTTTGCCACAAGACATTGCAAACGCCGACGCGGAAGGCTGCGTCGACAGCAAGAACACCAATGGAAGTGCAGGCAGCCACATTCCTCTCCTTCTTCCCATTGGTCCATTTGAGTAGACGACTGATCTCCAGTAATCGTCCGCGTTCATGATTGCTTCAGGGAGCCTGAACAAAGCCAATGACCAGTTTCGTCTAACTTCGGGCAACATTGTCACAGCTCCCGTGAACCAACAGTTCATGCCACAAATTCCATCGGGTTTCTGGCAATTCTTGCTTTAAGACACAACAGCAGAGGCGATGCAGTGAACAAAGACAACCACACGAGTCAACAAACCAACCACAAGCCCGGTCGATATCGGCATTTCGTGCAATTAAGCCATCGGAAATGGGGTTGAGTTAGGGGCTTTAAGACTGGGATAAAGGGATGACAACCAAGCGGGATGTACGGCGTCATCACGACGACTCAACAACTACTGGACGTTACAGTGACGAATTGCTCCCTCCTGTCCATTAATTCTGGACAGACATGTGCCTCAATAATTCACGTCCATCAGTCGCAGCCAAACACTACCAAACACCCCGCTAGTCCATCCCCCACTCCATCAGCCTGTCTGTTTTGCCTGCCCCACCTTCTTTGCATCTTTATTGGTTACGTGGGGGCTGTCGGGGATTCAGCAAACCCCAAACAGCATTTGTCCAAATTTGTACAACTTTGTGTTTTGCAGCATAAACTGTGTTTGATACACACCAACGTCCGTATTCATATCCCCCGCCTTCCTCCTATTGGTCCATTTACCCTTGAGTGTTCTAACTCCCTTACCCGCAATCAAGGCCGCCCACGTCATAGATAAGTGGCAACACCCATCCAATCGTGTTTGAGCAGAAATGAACCGCGTGACGATGGAAAGTGGCTTAGCTTTGCGGTGTTTTGTTTTAATGATTTCCACACACGGTGACCAATCACAGATCACCGACGCAAACATCCTCTAAAAACGCGATTGGTTGATAGGTTACTTAGGAAGTGAAATTTGTCTAGTTTATGGTAGAATCGATTAGTTTCTCAACGTGGACACTTAGTGCAAAATTACGCCCTCGACAGAAAAGGCAAATTATGTTAAAAAGGCATTAACTGGTGCAATTTACGTATTTATCGAACTCACGTTAACCACAACGGGAAATCCGGTCGCATAGAGAGGCTGGCTGCAATAAGGCCAGAAGTAGGGGCAGTCGGTTAGGTCCAGGTAACTCGGCCACAAACTGGCCTGAGGCGTCATCCTCCGCATGATCTGGGCAAAGGAAAAGCACATTCGTCCGACTGGCATTAGTAGCCTACAAAATTCCCACCAAAGCTACCTACTTAATGATTTAAATAGTAATATAATAATTACAAAATAGGGTCCCTCTCAGGGTGGGAGGGATAACTCAAAAATTTAATGACACTGTAAGAGCAAATCGCCTTTATTTCTCAAACATTTCAAGACTGTTTTGCGAACTTAGGAGGTGCAATAAACACAAAAATAAATTAGGAGACGTAACTGAGGTCAAAAATAACACAAAGAGCCTAAGAAATGCGAGTTTAACTACTAGGACGGTCATTAAGAAGGAAATATACAACAGATGGCGTCAGCCAATAAGCATAAATTTGAACACGCGGGCTACTGTTCGTCCAGATTCCACTAAAACAAACTCACCTATAGTGCTTGCAGCCATTTATATTCTTCTGGTGTTAAATAAGCACTTCTTGAGGACGCCTTTTGCTGCTGAGAGCATCGAACACACGTACCCCTGAGAAAAACATGTTGTCGTGCATTGGTTTGGACAGGCATGCGTGGTAATCAAATCGATACTGAAAATCAATATTCGGTTTCGACCAATATCCATAAAAACCAATCTGAAGATTGGACAGAGACGATATTCACGGCTACCACTTCGCACTGTGTTGATCTAAGAATAAATATTTGTTTGTTTGAGAAGTAGGTGCCCGCACTCTAAAATCGATGCTCCACACTAAACTAATCTCTCAAGTTGATTTCACATTGGAGCTAATCAAGTCTTTCTCAAAATGTCAGTTTCCTCCAAGCCCTAGGCTTGCCTACAGCGCGCCAACTAGGCCGACAAAAAACGACGCATCCTTTTCGACACATTCCACGGGCAAGAAGAGGCGACGTCTGCACAGATCGCAAAACGACGCATACACATGCTGGCGATATTTATAGTTCAAGGAATGCGCCCCCTTCCAGCCTGCCACGCGATTGGCCCAGCTGAAATTTGACGACAAATTCGAGTGCCTTCGCTTCCCGCCTCATTCGGCTTCCCCAAAACACACCGTTTCGTGTATTTGGGTCAACGGAAATGTGATGGGAAAGTCACATTCCTTCGCAGTAGGCCTAGTTTCGCCAATTTTAAACACACACACACACACAAATTCCTGCCTACGTGTCATCCAAGTATAACACCCTTTCGTGAAAAATGGCATTTATTAATCACTAATTTACTCCCAACCATTTCTTTTTGGCCAAATCTCTTCGAGGAAAGTCGTAAGGCACTTTTCGACTTACTCCATGCAATCAAATTTCTTGCTGATCAGACAATTTTGCAGAGAACGAAACAGGTGAACACCTGAAAGGGTAGGGCAGGTGCTGCCGTGGGACTTCTCATTTCAACCAGCTGGTGAATTGGCCGTGTGTGTTGAGGATCATGTGGCATAGCAACTGATCGGATTTTGACGATCAAGTCAGCACTGTGTTGAGTGAATTGCCCAACAGCTCGTGGGCAACTACTCTTCACTATTACGCTGTTTTACGCAACCTTCATGTCCTTCCCGGCTACGACTTGACCTGAAACGTGCTGGTTTTTTGGCGTGTGAGGAGAATAAATGACTGTGGTTTGTCTTGTTCGGCAAAAAAACGTGCACAACCCTTCACCGAGTTTAGAAGTGCAATGGATGGCATCAAACGACCATAATTTACAATCAGATCACTATCTTGGAATTGACTAAACCACTTAAGCCATCAGATTCCAGCCTCTTCGCTGTTTTCAGATAGTTGTGTGGCGGACTAACAGTAAACCCTGGTTACCGATCTGACGGTGACAATGACTCATCCCCTTTGCACTGGTTACTGTTATCAGACGTCTGTCATCCATCCACACAATCACCTCGTTCCAAAGCTCTAGCACACATTTGGATGAGCTTACAAAAATGTCTTTACGAAGACGTCAGAAATCGAACCATCTCCTCTGACGCAGCAGCTAGCAGATAGACAACCGCCTGCTGCAATTGGATGGATTATCACCTAGACAGCCTCCCAATTCCGCCAACCAAGTCAACCCAGGAAGAGATCTGACCTACCCCTGAGACCCGTTGTCCGCTTTGCTGATTCCGTTCGATAGTTTTCGAGCATTCATTGTTTCACAGCTAACACTCTCGGCGGGGAATATTTGTGGCAGATTATCAACGATCGCGCCTGAATGAACCCTGTTTACTGACCTGACGAAGAC